CTACAATGACAATAATAGCAGCAGTAAGTGCCATTTGCTGCAAGATTATTAGGCACTTTTCATACACTATTGTAACTCTCACTACAACCTGTAGGTTTATCCCATTTAGTAGATGAATAAACTAGAGAGTGAGAAAGTTAAGCAGGTCCAAGGTCACATTACAAGTACGCAGTAGTTCCAGGTTTCAAATGCAGTTCGCCTGATTCCAGAGCTCTTAACCACTCCGCAGCACTGCCTCTACCTCAACACACCACTGCCCGAACAAGGGGCATCACGAGTATTCCGGAATCAGCCCCCGGGCCCTCGGTTCTCCTCCTGGGAGCCATGAAGAGGGCGAGGCTCCAGCCTGAGCCTTGCTACTGTGCAGCCCGGCAGGGTTACTCCCCTTCTCACAGCCTCAGCTTCCTCGTCTGAATAGTGGGGGTTGAACTGGACAGGTACCAAATCCCCTCCAGCCTGGATTTTAAGAATACACATTTCTGAGAATTTGTCTCAGTAGCCAGAGTTTTCAGTCTACTGAATTTGGATCCCTCTTTTCTGGGCTTGGGTGAATGGTTCGGATTTTAGAGTTTCTTGTGTTTGCAGGGTTTGTGTGCCTGGGTTCAAGCCATAAAAGGTAATCATGATCATAAAATAGCATGAAGAAGAAAAGAGGCCTGCAGAGTGGTGGTTAGCTCTCACCAGAACAAGAGCAATCGTTGTTTTCATGGTTATCGTTATCATAAAAGCTTGCATTTATTGAGTACTTACTAAGTGGAAAGTCCTGAGCTCAGTTCCTTACAGGCGTCATAACACCAATCCTTTCAACAACGCTCTGAGGCAAGTGCACTTACTGCCTTCAACTAACAGATGAAGAAACAGAGGTTCTGAGAGGTTACGTGATTTGCCCCAGGTCACACAGGTCGTAAGCTGGGAACCTGGGATTCCAACCTTCTCTTAATCCCTGCACTGCTCTCATTCTCTGGGGCATTCCACTCCCTGCCCCCTCCCCCCCAATCCCCACCATCCAGGCTAGGACACTGGGCACTCCGGGCCTGGCATTCCGGCCTCCTGAAGGACAGCGCAGGTGAATAGCAAGTACCACAGGACAACTACCCCTCCTGACAAATCTCCTCTACTCTAGTGCCCTGAAATTCTTTTCATGAAACCCAGATACTTGAGAAATGCTGCCTTAAGCATCCTCTCCTCCTTCGTTTCCCCTCTTTCACCTGCTCCCCCACGGCATCCAGTCAGCTTCAAACCTCTCTTGCTGTTTGTTTACCTCTTAATAAGCCCTATCTCCTCTCGGAAAGCCGTTTAGCGCTGCACCACTTAATTTCTCCTCCAGGCGGAATCTGCCAGATGGAGCCTTCTTCCCAAGCCATGTTGATTTGTCTTATTTTTAAACAGCAGTAAACATCGCATGACACTGAAACAGCAGTCGGTTCCCAGGTGTGGACTCACTGAGCAGGGGGACAATCCAGAGTGTGTGGACGCGTCCACCTGGGGCAGCTGTTCCAAACAGGCTGAATTAATGGGGGAATGACTTCCCCAGGCGGCTCCTGGCCAGCTGCCGGTCGCGTCTGCGTGTCGCTCAGTGCAGGAGCACGCTGCTTTTCCGCTTCAGCTGGATTCAGCCAGTCATCACCTCCCCAGGCTCCACCCCCTTGGGTTATGCATCCCTGGCTTTTCCGCAGACATGCTTTTGACAGTTGAGCAGACAAGTGGACCCCAAAGAATCGAGAGACCAGCACAAAGTGACCCAGTACAAGAAGGAAATGTCCCTGAGGCCTCCATGTTTTATCCCTAAAATCCCTATAAAATTTCCTCTGATTCCATAACATAACTATGTTTAGGTTACTATCAATGTCATTCTTCAAATTTTGTACCAGGTGAATTATTAAACTATGTGCCCCCCAAAAAATCTTTTTTTAAAACAAACACACCAAAATGATGTTGACCCCATAGCTTCAGTATTTCTGGACACCCAGCAGGGTATCCTGGACGTCTGTGTGCTTCTGTGTGAGGAGCACAGCCCTGAAGACGGACAGTCTGTCTCGGGGAGGGCAGGCCCATGACAGGGACTGAGAATGTTCCTTTACTGCTGCATGTCATCCTGAAAAAGAGAGGATTACATCTAAAGGAAACACAGGCAATTATTACCAGCATGGCAGTGACCTCCCTGGGATCCAAGAAATAATATTAATATAAAAGAGACAGAGTCTAGTCTGCCTCACAGCTTGTGGGTGGCTCCATTGACCTTGTGATCCTACATCATAATGGGATTCGACAAGACAATGATCCAGCTCAACTCACAGAAGGGATTGTTCATAAAAATACATACGCCATAAGCTCATCTCCATAGCTCTCCACCTTCCAGCACCTTCATAACCCACATCCCATAATAAGCAATGGCATCTTTTATTAGAAAGGGGAAGAATGAGACTCTCACCTTCTTGTCTTTGAGATGCCTGTGTATGCAGGTACTAGCCGACTAACATTTGCCAAAACCTTCAGAACCAATGTGCTCTGGACGTGTTGGCAATTAGGATATTGCTCAAAGGTGTTCTCTCCCTAAATCCAATCTCAAATACTAGGTAGAATGCTGAGATTGTAGCAAGCAACTGATATCCTATGTTCCCAAAAGCATTATCCAATGGGACACAAAAGCCAAAGGAGGAAAAGAAGGCGAAATGCAGACAAGATGAGTAATAATGCCTTGATCCTTGGGGGAATTTTGCTGTCATATTTAATATTCTCTTTTTTAAAAGCACTCTCTCAAAAAGAAAAAATAAAACAATAGAAAATCAGTCCCTCCTTCACTCTATGAGATTCCTTTTCTCATAGTGCGTACGAACCATGCCAGTGTCAGAGCCTTGTGCTTGGATGGGTAGCAAGCATTCTCAGGGCTGCTTTGAAGGAAAAAAAAAATCATTCCAGCAGAGAGACCATAAAGCATTTGAAAGTTACAACAGCAATCTTGGTGGAGGAATATTCACCCTAAATATACACATAAACAAATGTATTTCCAAAATGACACAGGGAAACAAATCTGGGGTGACTGCCCCTATTCTTCATGTAAAAAGACAGAGATTGGGCAGACCAGAAGCACAGAATGACTGATTGAGTGAAAAGTGCTTGGAAATCTGTTATGTGCTTTTGAACACAAGGAAGAATTATTACCAAAATGCTACAGATGCGTTTTCTCCAAAATTCTCAGAAGTGGTCTCAATAGCTGTGTGGATAATATTGTCCATGGATTCATTTAGCTGTGGCTGCTGCACTGAGCACCCAGAGCCATGGGCACTGCCACGGAATTCTGTGGTTCTTCCGTGTCACAAGGCTGCTCCCCAGTTCTCATGTCCCTGTTTATTTTATAGACTCTGATCGGGTCTTCCCTTGGCCTTGCAAATGGAAGCACCTTTATTTCAGGGGGCTGGGGGAGTCCTCTGGGAGGAAATTTTATGACCAGGAAGATGGGATCTTTGGAAGACTTGTCTGGGGATCTCCAGAGGGTCCGCGGGAAGGGAGGAAGATACCAAACCCCACATCCCCCTCAGGGACTTTCGTGAAGTCAAAGCAGAAAAGTGGAATTCTATTCACATCTCTTTCTCTGTGGCAGAGTGGACTTGTCATGCCCAGGGCAGCTCAGATTCCAACAGAAACAATAATATGCCCAGAGGCATCCGTGGAGAAGCACAGCACAGGGAAGCCTGCCTCTCCAGCCAGCTGGGCTCAGTTGAAAAGACCACATGTGGAATACTGGTTTGGTTCTGAATCCCACATATACAGAGGGACGTTTCCTAATACAGACTTAGAAGACCCCAAACCTTCAGGACAGATCTGGAGACTGTGTCATGCAAGAAATAAATGAGGGCACGTGGAAAGTTACATTTGGCTTGACATGTCCAAAGCCTTCATGGAACACCTGATGAATGCCTTAAAATATTTAAAGAATGACCATATTAGCCAGAAGAGCAGAACCATTTAAACATTTGGCCAGGGAGAAGGAAGACTTCCTGAAATGAGAGCTCTTTGAAAACGGAAAGCATTGCCTTGGGAAGTAAGGCGTTTCTTTGCTGGAAGTGGAAAAGCTGAGGCTATGATACCACCTGAGGGGAGGTAGTGTACCTGAGTAGTGAAAACTGTGGGCGTTGGTGTCAAGCTGGACGCAGGCTCAGGTCCCAGCTCTGTTTTTGTGAGACGTAGGAAATTGTTTTTTGACCCTCAATTTCCTCATTTGTGAAAAAGGTATGATAATATCCACTCCTGTGGGTTATTTTATGCAAGTAAATGAAATGTTAATTAACACTAGTGCTTGGCAGGTAAGAAACAGTAAATTTGCTAACGTTGCTGCCACTGTTATTATCTCAGCTTGATAAACTGGATGGGAAGATAAAATACCTAATTTCCTCAGATTTCTTCGGCCTCTGATTCTACAGTTACTGTGGATCCCCCTCCACCAACATTCCTCGTGCCTTCTTCCTAATTCCCTGACTGTCCAGATGTTTCTGTTTTAGCTCCAGGCCAGGTCTTCCTAGACAATGGTGATATCCTCACCTTTCCTATTGCCACTCTTCTCCCCATAATCAAAAACAATCTTGCCTCTATCCCAGTTCCTTGAAACCCTGCTTTCTTTGGGGATAACTGGCTATTCTAGTAAATAATGCATATTAAGAGTACCACGTTAATACGACAGTGCAGTTACCTTCCTCTTTTAGATGTTTCTCCTGCTAAGAAGCAAGGGCTGAACACAGGACCTGACCAAGACCTGGCGGTCAATCAAAATTCTAAATGATCCTGAGGACAGCTCTTTTTCTAGCAGGATTCTATAGCTCATGCCTAGCTGCACTAGATAGATCATGATGGTGGTCTTCGGGGGCAAGGTAGAATACAGGACAGTCTCATGACGGGCTGACTTGGATGATATTAAGGTTCAGGTGGGACCTTCCTCTATTCACCCATTAATTTTCTGAGGAAACTTAAAGCTCACTCAGACCCCTGTCTTTCTCCCACTCAAGGAAAGAGCAGAGCTACGTGAAGAAGTGTTGGAAGGACGTGCGCGTGGGAGACTTCATCCAAGTGCAGTGCAACGAGATCATCCCAGCAGACATACTCCTCCTCTTTTCCTCGGACCCCAGCGGGATATGCCACCTGGAAACTGCCAACTTGGATGGAGAGACGAACCTCAAACAGAGGCGTGTTGTGAAGGGCTTCTCACAGCAGGTAGGGCTCTTTCTAAGGTCTTCAACTGCGAAGGCAAGGGGAGGAAGCAAGTCAACTCCACTGGTAAATTTGACTTAATTAACCTGGTGGGTAGAGGGGAAAGTAGTGGGTGCTTCCTGTCCCAGGCACTTTAGATACATTTAGTCTTCCCAGGAGCCCCCTGAGATGTTATTATCCCCATATTGCAGATGAGGAAACTGAGGCTTAGAAAAGTTAAATAACCTGCTGAAGACCTGAGGGTTTCTAAATGGAGACCCACTCGGTTCAACTAAGAAAATTATACTCTCTGTTCTAAACCAAGGAGTTCAATCTGTTCAATCACCCTAGGGACCACCCCCTTTCTGCACTCGTCCCATCCCAGGTCTGGTACTTCTCTCTCCATGAATCCTTTCTAATACTCCTCTGACCCCTCCTAAACTGCAGCAAGGTGTGATTAACTAGTTTTCTATTTCCGTGTGCCTTAGCACCTCAACAGTGTGTAAACATGATCATTGACACTTTTGTTTGATCCCCACCCTTGCGTAAACAGTATCTGAGAGCTCATGGAGAAATCATTACAGTTTGGTGGCTAAGAGCTCAGGCTCTGGGGTCTGACACAGCTGGGGTCAAAGCCCAACTCCCACCACTGATCAGCTGTCTTACCTCGGGCAAGTTATTAGTTCCCTCATCTGGAAAATGGGGGCAAACATGGCACCCTCTCCATCGGGTAGTTTTGAAGACTGAATGATAGGTACATGAATGCTTAGCATGAAGGCAGGCATGTTGCAAGAGACCAGGAAGTAGTTAGTATTAAGAGCAGTGGCTTTTGTAGGCAATATGTGTTGACTGAATGATGTGTGATATTCCAATTTGCAATTAAAATTCCCCTTGGAAGTGTTGATTTCCAATATGGTGTCTTTCTCTAAACATGGAAAAGAGTAAAATTCTGCCACCTTTCTTCATTCTGCCAGACTTTAGCTGAGGAGAAACTGAATGAGTCAGGGTATTTAGGAGAAAGAAGGCACATGCTTCATTCCTCAGAGATTTTCATGAGCTGGAGTTCAGTTTCCTAGACTGAAACTTCCCAAAAGCAGACAGCTCATGCTACCTCACCCTGTACTGCCTCTCTTCTCAAAAGACCCTTTTTGTATGAATGACTCAGTCCTCAGTTCTCTCATCCTTCCAATGGGAATAATAATGCTATCCCATAGTTGCGCTGTGAAATTCATATGGGATAAGGAAAACAAAGAACAAAATACAGGGTTTGGTACATAGCAGATACACAATAAATGGGAACCGTTGCTGCCGCAGGGGCTGCAGCGCCACCCACCACTGGAAACAGAAACCGCCATCACACCCTGCCGTCGCCAGCATGGCCCCCAGTCTCCAGGCTCTGAGTCAGTCCCTGAGCAGGGCCTGGCCTCTGAGTTTTCTCTCCTTTGTTTGTCACGACTATAGTCGCTGCATCACCCTGGTGTTCGCGAGAAGGCAGGGCGAGATCTAGTCGAAGTTCACAAAGTCATTCTAGACAAGCAATAACAGTCTATTCCTGGGCTCTGGGCCCTGTGGCCTGCCCTTTGGGCCACAGGTCTTCAGATCTTTTGAACTGTGACTCACAACGAGAAATACATATCACACACACACACGTGCATGTGTGTGACAGTGTGTGAGACTGGCGCCTTAGCCTTACCACCTGCAAGGCACCCTGAGACTTTCTGTTCTGTTTCTCTTTTGTTTAAAGTTCTAGGAGCAGGGAAGCTTGTATTTGCTGACAAATCTCCCCTTCAGCCTCCCCCCACCGACATCCTCATTCAATCCTGCATCATTTTTACTCTCTCGGGCAGTCATTCCAGTGCTGTTGCATTTCAACCAGTGACTTTTCTTTCTGTCTTTGGCAGCAGCTCCCAAGCTGTTTCTTGAATATTAATTAGTCAGGTAGTTTGGGATTTAACTGGAAGGAAGAGTCAGACAAAAGGGTCATTCACAATCCAGCGCAATAGACCAGCCAATTTAATAAGTCTCTCGAACTCTGACCCCGAATTCTCACAGGGTACTGGGTGTAATGATTTAAAAAATAAAAATAAAAAAGAGGTAAATGTATATGTGAAAGGAAGGAGGTTTATTTGAGCTCAAAGTTTTTCAAAGTTCTCTGTTCTATTCTGTCGCAGTTCTTGATTTTCTCCCTCATTTTTTCCAGTGTGTTTTTCCATTTCAATAATAATAGTAAACTTTTGAGCGCATACCAAGGGCTTTGATGGTCATCTCATTTGTCCTCACAACAACCCAGTGAGATGGGTACTATTATTGTCTCCATTTTACACATAAGAAAACTGGGGCATAGAGAGGTCTTGCAGCTTACCCAGAGTCTTGAACCGGGAAATGCTGGAGCCGGGATTCGAAGCCGGCTTTGCCCTTGAAGTCCGCAGTAGCTCATCTCCCCGGCCCTTGGACTGTTTCCTTGAGTTTGCCAAGAAACGCTTACTTTCGAAAGCATGCATTTATCATTTTCAATATTCTCGCCACATACATGTAGCAGGTGGCAGGAGGAATAAAAGTGGGCCCAGCCCACTCCCCGGGGCGGGAATCGTGACTGCTCTTTGCTCCGCTGCTTCCCACCTGTATGTTCGGTGCAAACACATTTCTGAATGCGGGTGGAACTCACTTCTGGCTAACTCTATACCACAGAATTTCCCAAATGTGTTGAGCAAAAATGTTGATGAGAGTTGCAAGAAATATAAACGCAAGGCCATATAAGATCAGAAGACAATAAACTATGAGTTTTTAAATACTGTGTACTGTAGAACTTCTCTGATACTTTAATAAGCCCCAAGGAGGAGAAGCGGCAGGTACTAGTATGTAGCATTTCTAAATATTTAAGCACAGACACCTTTTATTCCAAGGAACATACCCCAGAAATACTGCAGGAGGGGTGCGATCACCACTTAGGGATTTTCTGCAAATACATTACAGGTGTTTAGAGTGTATCATCATAACCACTGGGGAAGTCTTTTAAAAATATACATGCATCCTTCCCTATAACCACCACTAAATTATGATTCACCAGGACTGAGTACGGACCTCATCCTACATATTTTGATGACCCCTTAGATGACCTTGGGATGAACTTACCACCACCTCCTTGAAAATCCTTCACAACAAAAGGAAGGCAGCATCTCAAGTACTTCCAAAATCCCACTTATCATATTGAGAACAAAACTACCATCTACATGCCTCTTACTTGTGGCCAGAGCTGTGGCATGCATTTTCTCTTTTAGACCTGACAACCACCTTGAGAGGTGAGCATTATTGTCCCCATTTTACAGATGAAAACTCTGAGGCCGAGAAAAGGCAAATCTCACTGTCTCAGAGAAGATTTTGAACCCCTACCAATATGGTTTGTTTGGAAGTTTAATGTCTTAAATAATAAGTATTAATGGCTTTTGTTAATTTATTCTCCATCTGAATCACTATTGTCTGTGAGACCTTCACCTCGTTAAAAGGTTTTTACTAACCACAAAGATTTCTAGAAACTTCCCAGCCACACATACACCCACATTCATTTTCACTATTTGTGGATGATGAGAGATTACTATATTCTGTTAATACAAAGTCAGCAAGATGTACTTTGTCCCAGGTCCTTGGATCAACATTTCTCAAGGTAGACTCTGCCTAACACTTATCCCAAGAGACAGTTCTTGGAAAACATGGGCAAGTCAGATTGGAAAGCTTGTGAGCTGTGGACCCCTCTTGAAAGTTCCAATGTTCATTAACATATTAAGGTCTCTGAGAAGGCCTGGAGCCAATAGATCTGTTAAACTTTCTTTGACCCTGAGCTCTCCAAACTTATTTAACCTCAGAATTACTTTTTCCACACAAATATTATTAACATTCCCATGGAACTTTTGGGGAAATATTAACCTGGATTATGGTACAGAGAAGCCGACAATTCTCATGGCTTAGGCAGTTCATTCTTCTCTTTCCTGTTCAGGTTCAAATGAAATTATAAACATGAATGGGCTTCTTAAAAGAATCTTCCTCCAATGACATTACAGATTATTCTCAAGGTTGCTAAGGAGTTCAAAATTTTTTTATCAGAATTCATTTTGGACCAACTTTTTTTTTTAATCAATTGAAGCTTTTAACTCAATGGGCCCTCTTTGAATTTATAAAATTATTGACCTTTTTTGTTTAAATATTCCTTCTCATTTCCCATTGCTAAGAAAAGGAGATATTCAAAATTAGGAGGTATTCAAAATTAGGATTATACTAAAGTCCACCCAGCTGGCAAGAGGACTTTATTAGAGAATTAAATTGTATGGTTTTCTCTTTGGTAACATTCTGATACCTGAAACGACTTCTTTAAAGGGGTTTAACCTAGGGATTTAACACCTGAAAAGGAGTATGTGCCATTCACTTTGATAAATGGAACAGTTACCAAAGCCAAAGAGTCAGAAATGAGTTCTTGCAATTAGTATTTCAGATCAAACATGTTCTGGTTATCTATTATCCAAATCATTGAAGCCTAAGTCCTGCTGTCAGATCATATTCCAGTGCCACCCGGGAACTTGCTACGCCAAGTGTGACCTGTGGACTAGCAGCTGCAGTCAGCATCACCTGACAGCTCATCAGACACGTGGAATCTCAGGCCCCACCCCAGACTGAACCAGAATCTGCATTTTAACAAGACCCACAGCCATCCATGGGCACATTAAAGTTTGAAAAGCACTGGCCTTGGCCATCCCTGATGACTGTAATCATCGTGTTTATCTGTTCATTGCTCAAGTTAATTCTTCATGGAGTCTCCCTTTAGACTGACTTGCTTTCCACCGGTGGTTAGTGCTAATAAGCCATTTGCTCGGTTAGGAACAGCGGTGGTAGTTTGGATCCTCTGCGGTGAAAAGTGTGCACTGATTTAACGTATCTAGACAAGGGAGCATTTTGCTGACAAAGAGTTGAAGTCTGGTAGAGAGAAATTTATCACCATCCCAGTTCAGTAATGACAAGCCTCAAATGAAGCAAAA